CAACAAAGATCCGCATAGTGAAAGCAATGGTATTCCCCATAGTCACCTACGGATGTGAGAGATGGACCAGAAGGAAGGCTGAGCGAAGAGATGCGCTTTGGAACTGTGGTGTTGGAGGAAAGTTCTGAGAGGGCCTTGGACCACCAGAAGATCCAACCAGTCCATACTTGAGGAAATAAACCCCAGCTGCTCATTGGAGAGAAGGATAGGAGAGGCCAAGATGAAGTCCTTTGGCCACATCATGAGAAGACAGGAAAGCTTGGAGAACACAATGATGCTGGGGAAAATGGAAGGAAAAAGGAAGAGGGGCTGACTAAGGGCAAGGTGGATGGATGGTATTCCTTGAAGTGACTGGATTGACCTTGAAGGAGCTGGGGGTGGTGATGACCAACAGGGAGCTCTGGCGTGAGCTGGTCCATGAAGTAACGAAGAGTCGGAAACGACTGAATGAATGAACAACAACAAGAGAAGAAGGTAGTCAATACCTCTGCGTTCAGCTTGCTCTCAGCCAATGGCAAGGGGGTCCATCAACCCTTGCCATTGGGTTGATGGACCTCCTTGCCATTGTAGAAATGTAGAAATGCCAAGGATGTGAAACCTGGCATTTTTTTTCATCAGGACACACACATTTCTCTGCAGCAGAAAGTGTCTTCCAGAACTTCTGGTAGTGGCAAAGATGGCGAACGCAGCATGGTTCTGAAGCTCCTCCAAATACCTGACCCCACCGAGCGTTTCTTGGTGAGCCAAGGGTTCACCCATTCTGGTGGACTGAAGCCAGAGTGGAGCAAAACCTGCAGGACAACCACCAAAGACTCAAGGGACAAGACTCACTAAGTCAGTGTTTCTCAACTTGGGGGTCACAAGGAGGTGTCACCAAAGAACATCAGAAAACACAGTATTTTCTGTTGGTCATGGGGGTTCTGTGTGGGAAATTCGGCCCAAATCTATCATTTGTGGGATTCAGAATGCCCTTTCATTGTAGGTGAACTATAAATCCCAGCACCTACAGCTCCCAAATGTCAAGGTCTATTTTCTCTATACTCCACCAGTGTTCACATTTGGGTATATTGAATATTTGTGCCAAGTTTGGTTCAGATCCATCATTGTTTGAGTCCACAGTGTTCTCTGGATGTAGGTGAACTACAACTCCAAAACTCAAGGTCAATGTCCAGAAAACCTGTCCAGTGTTTTCTGTTGGTTATAGGAGTTCTGTGTGGCAAGATTGGTTCAATTCCATCATTGGTGGAGTTCAATATGCTCATTTATTGTAGGTGAACTATAAATCCCAGCAACTACAACTCCCAAATGTCAAGGTCTATTTTCCCCAAACTCCACCAGTGTTCACATTGGGACATATTGAGTATTTGTGCCAAGTTTGGTCCAGCTCCATCACTGTTTGAGTCCACAGTGCTCTCTGTATGTTGGTGAACTACAACTCCCAAACTCAAGGTCAATGCCCACCAAACCCTTCCAGTATTTTCTGTTGGTCATGGGGGTTCTGTGTGCCAAGTTTGGTTCAATTCTATTGTTGGTGGAGTTTGGAATGCTCTTTGATTATAGGTTAACTATAAATCCCAGCCACTACAACTCCCAAATGACAAAATCAATCCCCCTGCCCAATCCCACCAGCATTCAGATTTGAGCATATTGGGTATTTGTGCAAAATTTGGGTCCAGTGAATGAAATGCATATCAGATATTTACGTTATGATTCATAACAGGAGCAAAATGAGAGTTGTGAAGTAGCAACAAAAATAATGTTATGGTTGGAGGTCACCACAACATGAGGAACTGTATTAAGGGGTCATGCATGGCATTAAGAAGGTTGAGAAACACTGACCTAGATGCTGAAGGCAGTTGAGGGAAGAGGACTGTGCCAATTACACTATGCAAGCTCCCCAATGCTTCCTCTTCGTCCTGGAAAGAAGTGACGAGCGGAGTGCCATCAGAAGGGTTCCAATCTTTCCCTGGTCTTGCTTGGGGTCTTTATTAATGGCTTATCAGTGTTTCTCAACCTGGGGGTCGGGACCCCTGTGAGGGTCGCAAGGGGGTGTCAGAGGGGTCGTCAGAGACCATAAGAAAACATAGTATTTTCTGTTGGTCATGGGTTCTGTGTGGAAAGTTTGGTCCAATTTTATCATTGGTGGGGTTCAGAATGCTATTTCATTGTGGGTGAACTATGAATCCCAGCAACTACAACACCCAAATGGCAAGATCTATTTTTCCCAAACTACACCAGCGTTCACATTCAGGCATATTGAGTATTCGTGCCAAGTTTGGTCCAGATCCATCATTGTTTGAGTCCACAGTGCTCTCTGATGTAGGTGAACTACAACTCCAAAAATTTAAGGTCAATGTCCACCAGATCCTCCCAGTATTTTCTCTGGGTCATGGGAGTTCTGTTTGCCAAGTTTGGTTCAATTTCATCATTGGTAGTGTTCAGAATGCTCTTTGATTGTAGGTGAACTATAAATCCCAGCCACTATAGCCCCCAAATGACAAAATCAATCCCCTCCCACCCCACCAGTATTCACATTTGGGTATATTGGGTATTTGGGATTGGAAATATATTCTGCATATCAGATATTTACATTACGATTCATAACAGTAGCAAAATTACAGTTACAAAGTAGCAATGAAAATGTTATGGTTGGGGGTCACCACATCATGAGGAGCTGTACTAAGGGGTCGCGGCATTAGGAAGGTTGAGAAGCCCTGGCTTAGATGAAGGGTTAGAAGCCATGATTATCAAGTTTGCAGATGACACCAAATTGGGAGGGATAGCCAATACTCCAGAAGACAGGAGCAGAATTCAAAATGATCTTAACAGATCAGAGAGAATGGGCCAAAACTAACAGAATGAAGTTCAACAGTGACAAATGCAAGATACTCCACTTTGGCAAAAAAACGAAATGCAAAGATACAGAATGGGGGACAATGCCTGGCTCAAGAGCAGTACGTGTGAAAAAGATCTTGGAGTCCTCGTGGACAACAAGTTAAACATGAGGCAACAATGTGATGTGGCAGCAAAAAAAAGCCAATGGGATATCAGGGGTCTTCAACCTAAGGCCCAGGGGCCAGATATGGCCCTCTAAGGTCATTTATCCGGCCCTCACTCAGGGTCAAGCTAAGTATGAAATGACCTGAAAGCACACAACAACAATCCTATCTCATCAGCCAAAAGCAGGCCCACATTTCCCATTGAAATACTAATAAAAGTATATTTGTTAAAATTGTTCTTTATTTTAATTATTGTATTGTTTTAAGTTTTTTTTTGCACTACAAATAAGATATGTGTAGTGTGCATAGGAATTCATTCATGGTTTTTTTTCCAAATTATAATCCGGCCCTCCAAAAGTTTGAGGGACTGTGACCTGGCCCTCTGTTTAAAAAGTTTGAGGACCCCTGGTCTACATCCAGGGAAGTCCTGCTCCCCATGCTCTATTCTGTCTTGGTTAGACCATGCCTGGAATACTGTGTCCAATTCTGGGCACCACAATGGAAGGGAGATATTGACAAGCTGGAATGTGTCCAAAGGCGGGCGACTAAAATAATCAAGGGCTTGGAGAACAAGCCCTATGAGGAGCGGCTTAAAGAACTGGGCATGTTTAGCCTGAAGAAGAGAAGGCTGAGAGGAGATATGATAAGAGCCATGTATAAATACGTGAGAGGAAGCCACAGGGAGGAGGAGGGAGCAAGCTTGTTTTCTGCTTCCCTGGAGACTACGACGCGGAACAATGGCTTCAAACTACAAGAGAGGAGATTCCATCTGAACATGAGGAAGAACTTCCTGACTGTGAGAGCCGTTTAGCAGTGGAACTCTCTGCCCAGGAGTGTGGTGGAGGCTCCTTTGGAAGCTTTTAAACAGAGGCTGGATGGCCATCTGTCAGGGGTGATTTGAATGCAATATTCTTGCTTCTTGGCAGAATGGGGTTGGACTGGATGGCCCAGGAGGTCTCTTTCAACTCTTGGATTCTATGATTCTGTGAATATCTCAACCAATTCAACATATTTTGCAGTTTCTGGAGTAGAAAAACTACTTTCAAAGTAAAGACTGCACAATTAAACAGGAAATAAACGGGTTGCTGTGTGTTTTCTATGGCTATGTTCCAGAACACTTTCAAACCAGGATCTAAAATTACAACAGCAAAACAGCAGAGAGGAAACAAACAACCAGGCACATCTTAACACCTCTCAACAAGACATTTTCCCAGGCTCAGCCAGGCCTTCAAATGATAATGAAGGTGGTCAGCTGAAACATTCACACCTAGCTGCAGCAGAGAGCTCTTTGCCCCACCCCAGTCATTCCACAGATATATAAACTCATTTTTCCTACTTCCAACAGACCTCACTACCTCTGAGGATGCTTGCCATAGATGCAGGCGAAACGTCAGGAGAAAATGCCTCTAGAACATGGCCATATAACCCGAAAAAACCTACAACAACCCAGTGATTCTGGTCATGAAAGCCTTCGACAATACATTATTTTCATTGCTACTGTGATTTTGCCCCTGTTATGAATCGTAATGTGTGTGTGTGTGTGTGTGTGTGTGTATATATATATATATATATATAATACTAGCCGTCCCCTGCCACGTGTTGCTGTGGCCCATTCTGTGTATATGTGTTTTGTGTGTGTATGTATGTGTGTATTTATTTATATATTTATGTGTGTGTTTGTGTGTGTGTGTGTGTATATATATATATATAGGTAAAGGTAGTCCCTGACATTAAGTCCAGTCATGTCTGACTCTGGGGTGTGGTGCTCATCTCCATTTCTAAGCCGAAGAGCCAGCGTTGTCCGTAGACACCTCCAAGGTCATGTGGCCGGCATGACTGCATGGAGCCCGAAAAAACCCACAAGAACCTAGTGATTCCAGCCATGAAAGCCTGCGACAATACAGATCAGAACAGTTTTCAAACGTCATTACATAGTGTTCTAGATGGGCACAGCATGGATGGAAAGCAACTCGGTAGCGTTGGACTGCTCTTCCAGGTCAGTTACCAAAAGACAGGAGTCCAGCCATTGAGGCAGTATAAATAAGGGTGGTATTGGTGGCTGTGGCACACCGAGAGGGCCAAGGCAGCTCTGGAGAAGGCGCTCTCCTTGTATGTCGGGATGGAAGAGTTCTTCTCAAAGCCGCCGAGATCCGAGGCCAGCTGCTTCCGCTTGGTCTTATACCTTCGGTTCTGGAACCAGATTTTCACCTGGGTTTCGGTGAGCTTGAGGTGGCGGGCCAAGTGAGCCCGCTCTGGGGCCGACAGGTACTTCTGCTGGCTGAACTTCCGCTCCAGTTCGATGACCTGCGAGTGGGAAAAGGCCGCCCGGGAGCGCTTCTGCTGCTTTGGAGGCCGCAGGAAGGACTTGGGTGGGTTCCCTGGGGTTTCCGCAGGAGGGTCTATGGGGCAGAAAAGAAACGTAAACAACAACAGGAGTATATACTGAGAACAGGCCTCGATCAGATTGAGGGTTGGGTTGCTGCGAGTTTTCTGGAGTGTCTGGCCATGTTACAGAAGCATTCTCTCCTGACGTTTCGCCCACATCTATGGTAAGCATCCTCAGAGGTTGTGAGTACTGTGGGAAACTAGGCAAATGAGGTTTAGGTATCTGCGAAATGTCCAGATATATAAACCACAGAAATATAAATCTCATCCTGTTTCCAACACTCCTCACAACCTCTGAGGATACCAGCCATAGATGTGGGTGAAACGTCAGGAAAGAATGCTTCTTGGACACGGCCATACGGCCTGGAAAATTGTCAGGATGAGCTAGCATCTCCCAACAAAGGATTTCCCCAATAATAATAATAATAATAATAATAATAATAATAATAATAGCAGAGAAACAACTGGAAAAACTGACACGATATGAGGATTTAAAGATCGAACTGCAAAGACTCTGGCCCAAGCCAGTCAAGGTGGTCCCAGTGGTGATCAGCACACTGGGTGCATTGCCTCAAGACCTTGGCCTGCACTTAAACACAATCAGCACTGACAAAATTACCACCTGCCAGCTGCAGAAGGCCACCTTACTGGGATCTGCACGCATTATTCGCCAATACATTACACAGTCCTAAACACTTGGGAAGGATTTGACGTGTGATCCAATACAACAGCCAGAAGAGTGATCTTGTCTGCTGTGGACTCATCTTGTTGTGTTTCAAATAATAATAATAATAAACTTTATTTATACCCTGGCACCATCTCCCCCAACAGGGACTCGGGGCCGCTTACATGAGGCCAAGCCCAGACAGCAGATTACAGCAAAATAAAACCAAAAACACAAGCAATAACAACAACATCATAAAAACATGTGGATACATTAGGCAATACAAAATTACAATAACACAATCATAGTGACAATGGGCAGACACCGCATGTTCAGGATAAAATATTAAAAACTAAGCAGGAATCAGCCAGTCTTTGAAGCTGCAAGGCTATTCAATGCTAAACAAGGTGGCCAATTGCAGCATTCACACTTGCCTCCAACAGAAAAGAGTTCTTTCTCCCACCCTGGACATCATTCTACAGAAATATAAACCTCATTTGCCTAGTTTCCAACAGACCTCACAAGCTCTGAGGATGCCTGCCATAGATGTGGGTGAAACGTCAGGAGAGAATGCTTCTAGAACATGGCCATACAGCCTGGGAAACTATCAGGAGGAGCTAGCACCTCCCAACAAAGGATTCCCCAAAGCAGCAAGCAGCCAGTCTTTGAAGCTGCAAGGCTATTCAATGCTAAACAAGGTAGTCAATTGCAACATTCACACTTGCCTCCAGCAGACAAGCGTTCTTTCTCCCACCCTGGACATCATTCCACAGGGATATATAGAGTCCACTTGCCTAGTTTCCAACAGAACTCTATGCAGATACCCTTACTGATTGACTTTGCAGTTGCAAGGCCACTCAATGCTAATCCAGGTGGCCAATGCCAGCATTCACACTTGCCTCCAGCAGACAAGAGTTCTTTCTCCCACCCTGGACATCATTCCACAGGGATATATAGAGTCCACTTGCCTAGTTTCCAACAGAACTGTATGCAGATACCCTTACTGATTGACTTTGCAGTTGCAAGGCCACTCAATGCTAATCCAGGTGGCCAATGGCAGCATTCACACTTGCCTCCAGCAGACAAGAGTTCTTTCTCCCACCCTGGACATCATTCCACAGATATAGAAACCCCACTTGCCTAGTTTCCAACAGACCTCACAAGCTCTGAGGATGCCTGCCATAGATGTGGGCGAAACGTCAGGAGAGAATGCTTCTGGAACATGGCCATACAGCCTGGAAAACTATCAGGACCAGCTAACACCTCCCAACAAAGGATTCGCCCAAGCAGCAATCAGCCAGTCTATCAGGACCAGGTAACAACTACCAACAAAGGATTCCCCCAAGCAGCAATAGCCAGTCTTTGAAGCTGCAAGGCTATTCAATGCTAAACAAGGTGGTCAATTGCAACATTCACACTTGCCTCCAGCAGACAAGCGTTCTTTCTCCCACCCTGGACATCATTCCACAGACATATAAATCCCACTTGCCTCGTTTTCAAGAGACCTCACAACCTCTGAGGATGTCTGCCATAGATGTGGGTGAAACGTCAGGAGAGAATGCTTCTGGAACATGGCCATACAGCCTGGAAAACTATCAGGATGAGCTAACACCTCCCAACAAAGGATTCCTCCAAGCAGCAATCAGCCAGTCTTTGAAGATGCAAGGGCATTCAATGCTAATAGAGGTGGCCAATGCCAGCATTCACACTTGCCTCCAGCAGAAAAGAGTTCTTTCTCCCACCCTGGACATCATTCCACGGGGATATATAGAGTCCACTTGCCTAGTTTCCAACAGAACTGTATGCAGATACCCTTACTGATTGACTTTGCAGTTGCAAGGCCACTCAATGCTAATCCAGGTGGCCAATGGCAGCATTCACACTTGCCTCCAGCAGACAAGAGTTCTTTCTCCCACCCTGGACATCATTCCACAGATATAGAAACCCCACTTGCCTAGTTTCCAACAGACCTCACAAGCTCTGAGGATGCCTGCCATAGATGTGGGCGAAACGTCAGGAGAGAATGCTTCTGGAACATGGCCATACAGCCTGGAAAACTATCAGGACCAGCTAACACCTCCCAACAAAGGATTCCCCCTAGCAGCAACCAGCCAGTCTATCAGGACCAGCTAACACCTCCCAACAAAGGATTCCCCCAAGCAGCAATCAGCCAGTCTTTGAAGATGCAAGGGCATTCAGTGCTAATAGAGGTGGCCAATGGCAGCATTCTCACTTGCCTCTAGCAGACAAGAGTTCTTTCTCCCACCCTGGACATCATTCCACTGATAGAGAAACCTCACCTGCCTAGTTTCCAACAGACCTCACAACCTCTGAGGATGCCTGCCATAGATGTGGGCGAAACGTCAGGAGAGACTGCTTCTGGAACATGGCCACACAGCCCGGAAAACAACAACCCATTCCGTTTATGGTTCTGATATCTATGCTGGAGGTGACAGAAGAAGCTTCTTACCTGGAGGGTGGCTCTCCGGCGCCTCCCGAGCTTGGGGGCTGGCTTCCCGGGGGGCATTGCTTCTCCCGGCTTCCTCGGGGGGAGACCCAGGCCCGGCTGGATGGCCCCCCAGGCGCAGGATGTCCTGGATGAGGAAAGAAGTCAGCGGCTTGGAGCGGGGCGCCGCCATGAGCGCGTCCGGCAGGGGGCGCTGCCCGGTAAGGTCCCTCCCGCAGGGAGCGCGCCCTTGCTCGATGGAACCTGCGTCTGCCGGCGGCGCCCCGCGGGGGCCTTTATACAGGGAGCCGGCCCTCCTGCGCCCTCCTCGGCCAGGATTGGTCCCTCGCTCCCCGATGGCAGGAGACCCGCTCTCCAGAGGCAGAAGGGATCCAGCTCTTCCCCCTGAGCCATCTCCTCCTCCTCCTCCTCCTCTTCATCCCCTTTCATTTCCTCCTTCTCCTCCTCCTCCTCTTCTTCTCATCCTTCTCCTCCTCTTCATCTCCTAACTCTTTACCCTCCGTCCCTTCTCCTCCACCACTTCTCTTCCTTCTCCTCTTCATCTCCTTCCTTCCTTCCTTCCTTCCTTCCTTCCTTCCTTCCTTCCTTCCTTCCTTCCTTCCTTCCTTCCTTCCTTCCTTCCTTCCTTTCCCCTCCTCCACCACTTCTCTTCCTTCTTCTCTTCTTCATCTCCTAACCCCGTCTCCTTCTTTTCCTCCTCTTCTACATCCCTCCTCCTTCTCCTCCTCCTCCTCCTCTTCTCATCCTTCRCCTCTTCTTCATCTCCRAACTCTTTACCCTCCTTCCCTTCTCCTCCACCACTTCTCTTCCTTCTTCTCTTCTTCATCTCCTAACCCCTTCTTTTCTTCCTCTTCTACATCCCTCCTTTCCTCCTCCTCCTTCTCTTCTTCATCTCCTAACTCTTTACCCTCCCTCCTTTCCTTCACCACCACTTCTCTTCCTTCTCCTCTTCATCTCCTTCCTTCCTTCCTTTCCCCTCCTCCACCACTTCTCTTCCTTCTCCTCTTCATCTCCTTCCTTCCTTCCCCCCCTCCTCCACCACTTCTCTTCCTTCTCCTCTTCATCTCCTTCCTTCCTTCCTTCCATCCCCCCTCCTCCACCACTTCTCTTCCTTCTCCTCTTCATCTCCTTCCTTCCTTCCTTCCTTCCTTCCCCCCTCCTCCACCACTTCTCTTCCTTCTCCTCTTCATCTCCTTCCTTCCTTCCTTCCCCCCTCCTCCACCACTTCTCTTCCTCTCCTCTTCATCTCCTTCCTTCCTTCCTTCCTTCCTTCCCCCCTCCTCCACCACTTCTCTTCCTTCTCCTCTTCATCTCCTTCCTTCCTTCCTTCCCCCCCTCCTCCACCACTTCTCTTCCTTCTCCTCTTCATCTCCTTCCTTCCTTCCTTCCATCCCCCCTCCTCCACCACTTCTCTTCCTTCTCCTCTTCATCTCCTTCCTTCCTTCCTTCCCCCCCTCCTCCACCACTTCTCTTCCTTCTCCTCTTCATCTCCTTCCTTCCTTCCTTCCATCCCCCCTCCTCCACCACTTCTCTTCCTTCTCCTCTTCATCTCCTTCCTTCCTTCCCCCCCTCCTCCACCACTTCTCTTCCTTCTCCTCTTCATCTCCTTCCTTCCTTCCTTCCATCCCCCCTCCTCCACCACTTCTCTTCCTTCTCCTCTTCATCTCCTTCCTTCCTTCCTTCCTTCCTTCCTTCCTTCCTTCCTTCCTTCCTTCCTTCCTTCCTTCCTTCCTTCCTTCCTTTCCCCTCCTCCACCACTTCTCTTCCTTCTTCTCTTCTTCATCTCCTAACCCCGTCTCCTTCTTTTCCTCCTCTTCTACATCCCTCCTCCTTCTCCTCCTCCTCCTCCTCTTCTCATCCTTCTCCTCTTCTTCATCTCCCAACTCTTTACCCTCCTTCCCTTCTCCTCCACCACTTCTCTTCCTTCTTCTCTTCTTCATCTCCTAACCCCTTCTTTTCTTCCTCTTCTACATCCCTCCTTTCCTCCTCCTCCTTCTCTTCTTCATCTCCTAACTCTTTACCCTCCCTCCTTTCCTTCTCCACCACTTCTCTTCCTTCTCCTCTTCATCTCCTTCCTTCCTTCCTTTCCCCTCCTCCACCACTTCTCTTCCTTCTCCTCTTCATCTCCTTCCTTCCTTCCCCCCCTCCTCCACCACTTCTCTTCCTTCTCCTCTTCATCTCCTTCCTTCCTTCCTTCCATCCCCCCTCCTCCACCACTTCTCTTCCTTCTCCTCTTCATCTCCTTCCTTCCTTCCTTCCATCCCCCCTCCTCCACCACTTCTCTTCCTTCTCCTCTTCATCTCCTTCCTTCCTTCCCCCCCTCCTCCACCACTTCTCTTCCTTCTCCTCTTCATCTCCTTCCTTCCTTCCTTCCATCCCCCCTCCTCCACCACTTCTCTTCCTTCTCCTCTTCATCTCCTTCCTTCCTTCCTTCCATCCCCCCTCCTCCACCACTTCTCTTCCTTCTCCTCTTCATCTCCTTCCTTCCTTCCTTCCATCCCCCCTCCTCCACCACTTCTCTTCCTTCTCCTCTTCATCTCCTTCCTTCCTTCCCCCCCTCCTCCACCACTTCTCTTCCTTCTCCTCTTCATCTCCTTCCTTCCTTCCTTCCATCCCCCCTCCTCCACCACTTCTCTTCCTTCTCCTCTTCATCTCCTTCCTTCCTTCCCCCCTCCTCCACCACTTCTCTTCCTTCTCCTCTTCATCTCCTTCCTTCCTTCCTTCCTTCCCCCCTCCTCCACCACTTCTCTTCCTTCTCCTCTTCATCTCCTTCCTTCCTTCCCCCCTCCTCCACCACTTCTCTTCCTTCTCCTCTTCATCTCCTTCCTTCCTTCCCCCCTCCTCCACCACTTCTCTTCCTTCTCCTCTTCATCTCCTTCCTTCCTTCCTTCCATCCCCCCTCCTCCACCACTTCTCTTCCTTCTCCTCTTCATCTCCTTCCTTCCTTCCTTCCTTCCCCCCTCCTCCACCACTTCTCTTCCTTCTCCTCTTCATCTCCTTCCTTCCTTCCTTCCATCCCCCCTCCTCCACCACTTCTCTTCCTTCTCCTCTTCATCTCCTTCCTTCCTTCCTTCCTTCCTTCCTTCCTTCCTTCCTTCCTTCCTTCCTTCCTTCCTTCCTTCCTTCCTTCCCCCTCCTCCACCACTTCTCTTCCTTCTCCTCTTCTTCATCTCCTAACTCCTTCTCCTTCTTTTACTCCTCTTCTACATCCCTCCTTTTCCCTTTCCTCCTCTTCCTCACCCTCTTGTCTCCCTTTTTTTATCTTTCTCCTCTCCCTTATCTTTCTTCATTCCTCCCCTTCATCTTCATCCCCTTTCATTTCCTCCTTTTCCTCCTCCTCCTCTTTTCTTCCTTCTTCTCTTCTTCATCTCCTAACTCCTTCTCCTTCCTCCTCTTCCTCACCCTCTTGTCACCTTTTTCTTTTTCATCTTTCTCCTCTCCTCCTCCCCTCCTCCCTTCCTCCTCCTCCTCCTCCTCCTCCTCCTCCTCCTCCTCCTCCTCCTCTATCTCCTCCTCCTCCTCCTCCTCCTCCTCCTCCTCCTCCTCCTCCTCCTCCTCCTCCTCCTCCTCCACCACCACCACCACCACCACCACCACTTCTCTTCCTTCTCTTCTTCATCTTCATCTCCTTCTTTTTCTCCTCCTCCTCTTCTTCTTCTTCATCATCATCCCTTCCCCTTTCCTTCCTCCTCCTCCTCTTCTCTTCCTTATCCTCTTCTTCCTCCCCTTACTTCTCCTCCTTTTCCTGCTCTTCTACATCCCTCCTTTCCCCTCCCTCCTCTTGTTTTCTTTCTCTTCTCCATCTTCTTCCTCCATTTCTCTTTCTTCTCCTCTCCTTCATCTCCTTACTGCTCCTTCTTTTCCTCCTCTTCTACATCCCTCCTTTTACCTCCATTCTCTTGTTTTTCTTCTCTTCGTCATCTTCTCTGCCTTCTCTTTTTCATCTCCTTACTCCCTCCTCCTCCTCCTCCTCCATATCTTTTCCCCTTCCTCCTCCTCTTCCTCTTCTCTTCCTGCTCTTCTTCATCTCCTTCCTCCTCTCCTTCCTTCCTTCACTGAACAGACTGCGCTCTGGCACCACTGAGATGTAGAGCCAACCTCATCGGGACTCGGAGTGGCTTACATGGGGCAAACTGAAAACGCAAACAATAAACAACATCATATTCACAAAAACATATGAATATACAACAATATAAAATTACAATAAACACAAATGCAGTGACGATGATGATGCTTCCTTTCCCCTCTGGAATCCCAGGAGTTGTAGTTTGGTGAGGCACCAGCACTCTTTGTCAGAGAAGACCGAAAACCTTGTAAAACTACAACTCTCAGGATTCCATAGCATTGAGCCAGGACAGTTCACATAGTTCTTGTGGGTTTTTTCGGGCTATAGGGCCATGTTCTAGAGGCATTTCTCCTGACGTTTTGCCTGCATCTATGGCAAGCATCCTCAGAGGTAATGAGGTCTGTTGGAACAAGGGGAAAGGGTTTATATATCTGTGGAATGACCAGGGTGAGACAAAGGACTCTTTTCTGCTGGAGCTAGGTGTGAATGTTTCAACCTTCATTAGCATTTGAAGGCCTGCCTGAGCCTGGGAAAAATCTCCTGCTGAGAGGTGTTAAGCTGTGCCTGGTTGTTTCCTCTATGCTTCATTAGCATTTGAAGGCCTGCCTGAGCCTGGGAAATCTGCTGTTGAGAGGTGTTAAGCTGTGCCTGGTTGTTTCCTCACTGCTGTTTTTGCTGTTGTAATTTTAGAGTTTTTTAATACTGGTAGCCAGATTTTGTTCATTTTCATGGTCTCTTCCTTTCTGTTGAAATTGTCCACATGTTTCTTGTGGATTTCAATGGCTTCTCTGTGTAGTCTGACATGGTGGTTGTTGGTGTGGTCCAGCATTTCTGTGTTCTCAAATAGTATGCTGTGTCCAGGCTGGTTCCTCAGGTGCTCTGCTATGGCTGACTTCTCTGGTTGGAGTAGTCTGCAGTGCCTTTCATGTTCCTTGATGCGTGTCTGAGCGCTGTGTGTGGTGGTCCCTATGTAGACTTGTCCACAGCTGCATGGTACACGGTAGACTCCTGCAGAGGTGAGAGGATCCCTCTTGTCCTTTGCTGAACGTAGCATTTGTTGGATTTTCTTGCTGGATTTTCTAGTGTCAAACTGCACCAATCGTCAT